CGCGCGCGCACACACATATACATATAATTGTCGCGACGTCTTCGTTCGTGCGAAATCCGTCCATTTCTCGTTTCCTAAACGCGTTCCAACCGTTGGTCTAGTCGCCGGTGTAAAAAGAAACGAAGGAGGAAAATAATATAGAAAAGAATAACGAAGAACAGGCCGAGCGGCGAGGGAGGCGGAAATGCGTTTGCGTCGCTGGGAATTTCGCTTCTTTTCGAAGCCGCGCGAAGGCATTACGTATCCCCCTTTTGATCCCTTCAAAACAAGCGCGCCTTCTTTCAGGCTAAACGTCGTCGTTAGCCGTGCTAGGCTACACCGACTAGCGAGTTAATAAACGTCTCTTTTCCCCTCCTCGCTTCGTTCCTCTACCTCTATTTCTACGTGCGTTCTCGTTCGCAATTAATACGCGATATAATTCATCGTAACCAGGAGCTAGAGACGAAATGAAAAAGAGAGAGAGAGAGAGAGAGAGAGTAAGAAGTTATTTTATCGTCATTAACGATAAAAATTAAAGATTAAAGGTTCTATCGATAATCTCAGTCATGAATGTCGTCTCGAATCCATAGACGCAGGACAAGGGAAGCATTCGACAAGGAAACGACCGGTTTATAATTGCAAAGTAACAAATCTTGGTCCCTCTTCGTCGTCGCTCCTTTGTCTCTCCGTCCTCCATCAACGAATTATAACGATCAGAAGGGAGGAAAACTCAGGGTTCGCGCCAGAAGACGAGTTCTCGAAACTCGCAAGGCAGAAGAGGATTAACGAAACCAGAGGCGAGAAAAGGCTTAGAAATTTCATCCGAGTCGCCGAGTCGTCTCGGTCCAGCTTTTGTCAATGTTACAAGAGAACGCATCGCGAACGTTTCCCTTGGCGGATCTCTGGCCGAGCGTGAACGAACGAACGAACGAACGAACGAACCTCGAATTCCAGAATGGTCGCCGGCCATGGTCTCCGATGGAAAACGAAGAAACGAAGAATAATGCGCCACGCCGCTTCCTAGCTTGACGACCTAGCCTCGCGCGCTATCTGCCCGAGAGATACCGAATAATCGGCTTTGTAAAATGTTTGCGCGTTGCGCGGCTAAAGCTTTATAGGTTCCTATAATCTTTAAATGCGCGCGGCGTGTCGCGTCGACGCGTGGACGTTTCTCTCGTCGCGCCGCGCAGCATGTAATTCGCGACAACTCCTTCAGGCCGTGTGTATCATTAAAATTCCACGCTTTATGATCGCAACGTCCTTTCTCCAAGCGGTTATTAATAGTCGGCCGCGCCGCTACGGAGCAATTAAAATAATCAATGTTAATATATTTGGGTTAAGTGCGTACGGCTTGATGGAGTGTGCCTATACGACATACAGGGTGTTGCGAAGAAATTGGTCACATTTGATCGAGATTGTATAAGGGGGAAAAATACCATCTGACATTGGTGGAAAATTCCCGATGTTTCGTGAAAGATGAACAGTATTTTTTATCGGTTTAACTTGATTAACATATACAAGAGAGTGGTGGTAATCACAAGAATGAAAAGGACAAATATAGTCAATATAATCTTTAAAGACGAAGACCGAATATAACTAACAGATCGATGAAGGACTCAAGGTTTTTGTAAAGATAAAGATACAGCTATTGAAATATTTTAATGTTATAACGACATTGAAGTTTTTGAAGTTTCTACAATTGTAAAGAAAGTGCAAGAAACTGATATCCATCCTTAAAATCAAATAGAAGGACAACGCTGGTAACGTAAGATTAATCGACAAGCTACAGAATCTCGAAATTGTTTACCCCGGAAAAGTTATGTTCTTTGAACGTATTTCGAGAATGAGGGAACTACTACAACTGAACTTACTTACAGCTAGAATTTCCTTCGTTGTCTCGATGTCTAGAATCACACCCTACAACTATCATCTGCTTTTTCCAAACATTTAGGGAAAGCGAACGCGAAAGTAAGTTGAAAAGTAAAATAAAAGAGGGGAAAAGGGAAACAGATAAAGGAAGATGTAAAGGGGGACGAGAAGGGAGCAAATTGAAACGAACCGACGAAAAACGCTCGACGCTGTCCGATCGAGCCGGGTGAAATATCGAAGTTCGCCCGGTGAATTAATGGGAATTTCCATCGCGACCAGCGCAGCGCGGGTGCAAAAGAACGCGCGCTTAGAAAAAAAAAAAAAAAAAAGAAAAAAGATATTCCCCGACGCCTCGATAATATATTTTCCATTGTTGACCGCGAGTCGTTTTTATTTTTGCCAAAGTAGATATTCACGCTTACACGTATACCGATCCTGACAAAAAGGAAAAAAAAAAAAGAAAATTCGACGTTTTAACTGGAGAAACGAACATCTCTAGCATCTGTCAATTCGGCAGCGTAGAGTAAGAATATATCCACAATAGCCATCAATCAGCAATTATCTATTACCGATTCAAATTTATATAGTGGATAATTGGTTGTTTAAATACATCCGTGATTTCCATGAAATATACTTGTATTAAATACTTTGTGTTTCCTATATATACATTATATTTTATTTATTTCAATTTCGTGGTCAAGAAATGGAATTTCTCCCATACACCTCAAATTGTAATCAAAATTAAAATAATACTATAACTATCAATACAAAGACTACAAAAATAAAATTGACGTTGCAATTAAGGAGCATCCATTAGGAGCAAGCATTAACAACGAGATCGCCACATTTAACAATAATAATAATTTATCTGAAATATTAAAATATTCAAATTAATATTAATATTCATATTTTATCTTAAACATGTAAATTAATATTTATATTTAAATAATTTATCTTACGCGTATTTCCTACATTTATACAACCGCGATAGTCGAGTCTCGTGAACAGTGCTAATGAAATTCCAAAATGCCTCGCATAATTGATAAAAGGTATCCACCAATGTTGGAATACTTTCGTGTTTCGAGCCTGCGCGTATACCGTCGTACGACAGTGTAACGATATAACGTCATCATCTATCGACGGGTTATCGTCGGGTACGTTCAGAATTTTCGGATTCAACAGACCTGGCCAGAAACTGGTCACTCGCGCATGATACGCTCGGAGCTTGTTCACCCCGGCCATTCTGTATTCTCTTGGCTCTCGCTTAACTTTGACTCGCGATATTCGCGAGATTAGCTAAAACGTATTCGCTTATGGGTAAATTAATATCCATCCATTAGCATTACGCAGGGCT